CACGAAATGCCATTTGGGAGCCCTTCCTCTGTTCACCTTCCGTACCCCCCTATTTGTATCCCTTGAGCCTGGGCCCTCCCTCCAGTCCGTGGACGCTGGTGCAGTTGCACCGCCTGCACAAATCCGTTGGCTGTGCCGCTGGGTCTCACGTGGGTGTCCGTTGCCGTGCCGTACAGATCGGAGCAAATGGATCGTGCCAGGGCCTTCCATCCAGATGGATCGGACGCTCAGGATTCTGTGTGGCTCATGTTTTACGGCGAGCGTGAACGAAGGAAAATAAACAAGCTGCCCGCTGACGAGAGGTACGATTTCACATTTTCTGGCATGAAATTAAAAGCCGGCCGTGCGCAGAAATAAATGCAGTAATCTATGTTAAAACATGACCAATAAAAGAGCAGATTTGTCAAACTCACTTCCTTGTCTTTAGCCACAACACGACATCACGTGACATCTGTGTGTGTTAACAAAGTGAAGTCAAATTCTTTCTCGTCATCCAGGCTTTGAGCTCGTACAACTTCCAATTGTGATTCGAGTCCTCTTGTCATTGTGGCACCTGGCCAGGCACAGCGAGGCAAATCGGCGTTACTTTACAATTGTGTGTCACATTTTTTAGATGTTACAGTCTGCATTACATCTGACTTGAGAATAAAATAAAACCAATGTTTAGTTTAACCTCCAAAGGTATTCGGGTGATCCGGCAGCGCCCCCGAGCCTCCTTCCTTTCACCTTCACGTCAAACCTGTCCAAGTGCTTCGGCAGAGCCGTAACGGTCACCGATATCTTGTCACAGGGGCCAATTTCTGCTCGGACCGCCGGCCATGGGCTTCAACGCCGCCTTCATGGGCCTCATCGCCAACAGCTACTGGCGGCGGCTGCTGCGCGTCAAGCGAGCGGCGTTTGCGAGCAGTTTCCCCCTGTCCTTCCTGCCCTTCCTGACGACCACCGTCGCGTACACCAGCCTGGTGTCAGCGCCCATCCTCCGAGGTGTCGTTTCGTGCGCACACTCGCGGCACGTGCCTCACCGGATTCCTCCAGGATGAGATGTTACGATTCCGATGTAATCGATGCTTAGATTCGACCGTTAAAGGTCACTTCTTACGCTCGCGACGCGCGCGTAGAATTGTGCTCGTGAAAATAAATTTACACTACACATATTTGGACCATCTTATTTGACAGGCACTATTCTTTAGTTACCGTACAGTTTACTGATAGACAGCCAGTTTTGTTTTATCATGTTTAGCTTCTTTTTTAAATCCTTTATATTTTAAGTTCGCTTGCTTGCTTGCGTGCTTGCGTGCTTGCGTGCTTGCGTGCTTGCTTGCTTGCTTACGATCGTGCAAATCTTTCGGTCGTTTTTTAACCCACTTCCCGTGATCCAATCGAGCTGACATTTTCCACACAGACTCGTTGTGCGTGACAATTAATTTTCGTGAAAATTTTTTTCCAAAATTTTACACTGTTTAATGCTGGCAGATAATCATCTGACCCATAGGTGGCAGCCATCTCAAGCCAGAGGATTTAGAGTGAAAAACTTTGTTTTTACGGGTTAATTTTTTCACACACTGGTTTCCTGCTTTAAGTTTGACCCACCCAGCAACATAGCAGGAGGATGTTTCTTCCTGACCTGCTTTTTTGCTTTTACCATCTACATAACAAAGGCTCAGTCCCATTAGCAGCAGCCGCACCTTAACAACTCTGGCACCTCCCAGCTCAACCAGTCTACACAACAAAGGCTCATTCCTAACAGCAGCCTCAGCCGCACCAACCTCACCATAATAATAAAAAAACTTCGATCCAGGGGCCTACCTTGGCTCCTCCCACCTCAACCAGTATATATACAAGGTCGGGTCTCTTGGAATTTCTCTTTACTTGATACAGCTATCGTGCTGTGACGGTTCCACCTGAAGACGGAAGCTTGTGTTGCCTCCGAAACGTCGTGATTTTTATTTTTTTATTTTACTCTTATTAATTTTAATTTTTACCTACGTGACTTTACCGAAAAAAACCTAAGAGTATGAATCCTTGCAGTCACGAAAGCTTCAAATCTAAAATAAATGAGCTTTAAACGTAAGAATGGCACGAGTTCCAGGTGTACCGATTACGACGACTTTGACCGTTTGCTCGTTCGCGCCGTGGATCTTGCGTGGATGGTGCCGTGCAGCCATACGTAGAACTTATTTCGCACCGCACGCAGCCAACCGTGTTAACCCGGCGGTGCCGTGCCATGCCGTGCCGTCAGGTGAGACTTCCTCCACGAGCGCGGCGGTGGCGAGGGGCGCCCTCGTTGGCTTCGTGGTGTCCTGGAGTCTTCCCCGTGCTGCTGACCATCCCTCCCAACTACCGGCTCGCAGTGCAGTAAGTGAAGCCAAAAGGCACCAAAGGGGACACACGCAGCTTTGTCCACGTGCAGCAGAGGTCGCAATCGGGTACCCGATACCCGTACCCTACCCGATACCTGGCTACCCGTACCCGGCCGGGTATGGGTACCAGTTTGCGACCCTGGTGCGGCCGGGTATGGGTAGGCCGTGAGTCACTGGTGAGTCACCGTTTGTCACTCATTTCCCAACGTCTTGTCTATTCTCACAATTCAAGCTCCTAGAATCAACCCATCCGCGCCTGCAACATGGCTTCATCTCAGAGGTCGCAATCGGGTACCCGTACCCTACCCGATACCCGGCCGGGTACGGGTAGCCGGGTATCGGGTAGGGTACAGGTACGGGTACCCGTTTGCGACCCTGGTGCGGCCGGGTACGGGTCAGGAATCAAAACCCGTTTGCGACCTCTGACGTGCAGCCCTTTTTGGTCAGGCCGCGAAGTTTGTAACAGTGATGTCACGCAAGACAATGATGTCATGCTGTAATGCAATGACGTAATACCTACGTCATTTGACTTCCCGTAACACCGTGCTTACCCGTGCAAACTCACATTTCTCGGCCACGGTTCGTAAAATGGTATACAAATAACAAACCACACACACACACTTGCGTAAAGAAAATTTTACGTATCACAGGGAAACTACCCACTTTTATTCAGCGCATCAAATTTGATTACTTCTGGGGTCAAAATAATTTATTTTCCACTTTTGATTGCAAAGAAAAGTGTGTGCATTGAAAAACTAAATTTTTTTTTTTTACCAAATTTACTCGCGTTGTTTTGTTGTCAACTTGTTCACCTCGCCACTGCCGGACACCTGTGAAAAATGTACCCGTAAAAACTAAGTTTTTCACTGTAAATCCTTTATATGCGTGCCATCGGTTTGATTTTATTATTCATTTCTGTTTTTCTTGAGTAAGAGTTTCATTTTTATCACATTGGTATTTTAAATTAAATATGAAAAAAAAAATTCCTAAAAGGTGGAAAATTTTGGAAACATTTTTTCACGAAAATAAATTGTCACGCACAACGAGTCTGTGTGCAAAATGTCAGCTCGATTGGATCACGGGAAGTGGGTTAAAAAACGACCAAAAGATTTGCACGGCCGTAAGCGCGCAAGCAAGCAAGCAAGTGAACTTAATATAAAGGATTTAAAAAATTAACCCGTAAAAACAAAGTTTTTCACTGTAAATCCTTTATATGCGTGGCTTCGGTTTTATTTTATTATTCATTTCTGTTTTTCTTGAGTAAGAGTTTCATTTTTATCACATTGGTATTTTAAATTAAATATGAAAAAAAAATTCCTAAAAAGTGAAAAATGTTGGAAAAAATGTTTCACGAAAATAAATTGTCACGCACAACGAGTCTGTGTGCAAAATGTCAGCTCGATTGGATTACGGGAAGTGGGTTAAAAAACGACCGGAAGATTTGCACGGTCGTAAGCGCGCAAGCAAGCAAGCAAGTGAACTTAATATAAAGGATTTAAAAAGAGCCTCGCGGCTCGTCGGATTTTACCCAGGATAAATACAAAAAAAACCCTTCCAATCCCGATTCGTTCTCGCCCTCCCGGCGGCGGCAGGCACCGAACAATCGAGCTTCCGCCTCAAGGCCGGCAGCTGTCGTTCCTGTGGCGGGTCTCCAAGGCCGTGCGCGGGCCCCACCTCTCCTTCGCACTCTTCCAAGCGGCGTGCTGCAGCTTCATGGCGTACACGCAGGCCCGCACCGCACGCCTGCACGTGCCGGACGACTTCCCGTGACGTCACGTGGCGTGGCCCCATCTCCCAAACGTACATGTTCGGTTCGTTGTTGTTGTTGTGAAAGCACCGAAGCCTGGAAGGGGATCTTTCGGCACTTGGCCGTGTATAGGTGGGGCTGGGTGGAGAGGGGGCGGGTAGGGAGGGGCTGGGTGGGGAGGGTGGGGCTGGGTGGGGAGGGTGGGGAGGGGCTGGTCACCCCGTGGTGCCCTTATAAAACTCAATGTTTAACCTACTCACGTCGGCTTGTGCCCGCCCTCACAGTCGGCCATATTTGCGGAATACACCACGCCGCCGTTGACCCTGGTCATTGACCGAGCAACCCAACGTTCCTACCAGCTCCCTCCCGCAGGGATGTGTTTCACCGCAGAGAACTGTAGCGACACTACCGCACTCGAGAATTGCTGGGCGCCAAACTGTGCCATGCGCCCTCCCAGCATGGCCGTGTGGAAGGCTCGGGACGTCTTCCGACCTGAAAACGTACCGATAAAGTTTTTTTTACATCGGAACGGCAAAGGGTTAACCTTTCTTAGCACTCGGTTTGAAGGTTTTAATTTACGTTACCTCTCCGATCCTTGTCACAGCAAATAACGCTGTGGTGAACTAGCCAAATCTGCTGTTGACGTCAAACTTGTAACAGCAACAAATGATCTCCAGCCTGCTTCCAGTGGCAAGTGTCACCTATGTTATGAACTTCTTTCACACCGTAGGTAGCCAACGGTGCTAATGAGAGGTCATGCATTACACCATTGCTTTACAAGGATGCCAGATCGCCAGTGGGATATCGTTGTACATGCCCAACACACTGGCGACAGCTTGCAAAACTCCGTGTCGTTGACCCGAAAAATTACGAGCCGTGAAATCAACAAAATCTGAAAGGTATCTCAATTTTTATTTTATTTTTTACACCAAGTCACCTTTTGTGTTTAGCACTGTCGGTACTCGCCACGTCCCTCTGTGGTTTCACAAACGCGTTTGCACTTTAGTCGTTTGGGCTGCAGCATTCACAGGTTGCAAGGCGGGACGCAACGATGACAGACAAAGCTACGGCGTGCCGCACCGTTAAGGGGTTAATTCGGCCCAACATCTGAATGTAACTTCACGCTCCCTGCTCTCCGACGTACAACGTAACAGTGAAAGAAAATAAAGCGTGCAACGGAATATAATATTAAACCAATACGTAAAGAAGTTGGGAGTGGGGGGGGGGGATTTGAGCGAGACCTGTGAAAATAAGTTCGAAATAAAAATGTGCATGGAGCGGAGAATTCCAGTTTTTTTTTCTTCTCTTAGTCGCTTGACGTCAAAATTATTTTTCAAGTGAGCATATTAAACAGGTAAGATTCGCAGGGGGTTTGTTTAGCATTTCAAGTCAAGCGGTAGGTAACTCTGTTCATTGCTGAACACATGCTCACGGCACCGATAACAACACAAGGTTCTAAATAAAAAAAACGAAGTGCCCTTAATCCACATTTTGGCCCTTTAACGGATCCTTACAAAAATTCAAACCACCTTCATTTTGCTTCGACAGCCATCTGGCCCGTGTCTTTCACACGTTAGTGGCTTAATTCGGAATAGTCTGGCGCACCCGGCTGGGATTGTGCGACGGAGCTCAAATAATGTGCACGCTCTTCTGCCGTACGGCAGAGAAGTTACGAGCCTCACCGCGGAGCAATACTTCTTTATCGTATAATTGTGGATGGAAACGGGGAAATAACCAACGGGGACGTTAAATTTCGATTTCAAGCTTTCGTGACTGCAGGGATTCATCTTCTTGGTTCTTTCGGTAAAGTCACGTAGAAGGGAAATAATAAAATACAAATAAGAGAATACATATTTTATTTTTATTATTTTATTATTTCCCTTCTACGTGACTTTACCGAAAGAACCAAGAAAACGGGGACGTTTTCACAAAGATGAGAACAACACTCGCCATTGTCAACTAAACCATTTCGCAGTTTCATGGCGATTCAATTAAGTGGATTGCCGCCAATAATGTGGCCCAAACATCAACCGACCTTCGAATTTTGCCGAGCTTCCTCGACTATTCTCAGGAGTCTTAAGTGCAAATTTTGTTTCACGGGGGGGGGGGGGGTCTATTACCTTGTCATCCTCCGCTTTTGAGTGTAACGCCGCGTAAAAAGCTTCGCCAGCGCGGAGCGGGCAAAATAACAAACGGTAACGTTGCAACCCAGAGATGATGGCTTCTTCGCGAGCCTCCCTTTTAAAACCGCGATCCCTTTTTTCAAGTTAACGTCCACGGCCGTTTCGCTTGCGCATGCAACGACCGGCGCATACATCGGAAGTGGCGAACACCGAGTCCCGGCAACGACTGCAAACGCATTTTTTTTTACAAAACGCCCAATTACTTGTGAGCAGTCAGAACTCCCGATGCGGTTTCGGGTTGCGCCGCGTTTGCCGTTCGGCACGACGTCCCCAACGCCTCGCTCCGCATGCCACGAGAAAGTCTCTGGGAAGCAGAGGTCACAAACGGGTTTTGATTCCTTACCCGTACCCGGCCGCACCAGGGTCGCAAACGGGTACCCGTACCCGGCTGGGTACGGGTAGCCGGGTATCGGGTAGGGTACGGGTACCCGGTTGCGACCTCTGCTGGGAAGGGAACCGGCTGCGAGGGCTGTAAAGCACAACGGCCAATAGCTGCGCTGTCGATCCAACGCCCAGGTTATTTACACTGCGCAACACTCCCCTCCCCCCCCTCCTCCCTCGTATCTTAACCCGGGCTGTTCCTCTTATCAGGTCATGACCTCAAAGACATTCAGAAAGGACGGATGCAGAAAACTCCTACAGCGGGGGAAGACCTTTCAAGGCAGACGAGAACACATACGTGCAATTGTTTCGTGCCTTTTGCTTTGGTGCCATTTGTTTAATTTTTATTTTGCTCAGTAGTAGGGGTTTTCATTTGCTTGATAGTGGCTGTGTTTAGGACTTGGTCGTTATATATAATTAATGTACAGCGTTATGGGCTGCAATTAACGTGGACTACGCCAAACTAAATTCAGGTATTATCTCGGCATATGGGATGTAAACACTGCTATAGGGGTTACAGCGACACCACAGAGGGCGAAGTTGGGGGAAAACACGAAGTTATCGTCATCACCATGGCTGTGAACGACACGAGGGTGCCGAGTGGCGGTGCGAGACGGGTTGGAGGCCAATGGGTGGTACCGTTCTGCAGATCACACACGGCCTACGGGCATTCTGCAGATCGTACGATGCCACGGCCTACGGGTGTTCTGCAGATCGTACGATGCCACGGCCTATGGGCGTTCTGCAGATCGTACGATACTGCAGTCTACAGGCAGATCACTGACATGAGGGCATAAATCTGGAAGTTATAAATACAAGTATAAAATATAACAAGTGCTGGAGACTTTTTAACGAGTGGATGTACCAGGTACTGTCCAGGTAACGTTTCTAAGAGTGGGCAGATATGAGTATATATATATATATTTACGTAACGGGCGTCTGCGGCATAAAAATAATGACAACCTCAGGCAGAGTTGCACCTTTGTTAAGTTTCATCTTGGGCAATGGAATGCGGCGGGTGAGAATGAGAGAGGCGCGTACGGATAGCAACAGAAGCTAGTCATTGAAAAATCCCTTTGACTCCCGGGTGGCAAAGCACTGCACTCCCTACTGCGTGGATCTCGGAGGTAATTCCATGATATCCGCTTGCACGGACCACAAATCAAGAGTGGCACTGCTCTGCGAAGGTTTTCTCATCGTGAGACAACACCGATATCACACAATCAGGACGGAACTGGGTGGGTGTGGGTTGAGGGGGAAAGACAACAAACTTTGAAAATACACTTCCGCTATCCCAGCGCGTCCTGGCGTTCAGCCGGAGGACGCCCTCTTGGGCCGAGTGGGAACCCCAAGCGACGGGGGCACGGGTCAAGAGGGAAGCTACTTCTTCGAGAAGTAAATGCGGTCGGAGATGCCGGCGGGCAGGTGTGTGATGGCCTGCACGCGGGTCCACCAGTAGGCGTCCATCGGGGTGTAGCGCGTGAGCGGGAAGTACGATGTGAGCGCATCCTGGATGTCGTCGATGACGGGAGACACGTCCGTCGATCCGCCGCCGGTGTACGACAGCATGATGGTGACCTGCGGCGGTGGCGACATAGCCGACACGGTGACATAGCCGACACGGTGACATAGCCGACACGGTGACATAGCCGGCACGGTGACATAGCCGACACGGTGACATAGCCGACACGGTGACATAGCCGGCACGGTGACATAGCCGGCACGGTGACATAGCCGGCACGGTGACATAGCCGACACGGTGACATAGCCGACACGGTGACATAGCCGACACGGTGATATAGCCGACACGGTGACATAGCCGGCACGGTGACATAGCCGACACGGTGACATAGCCGGCACTGTGACATAGCCGACACGGTGACATAGCCGACACGGTGACATAGCCGGCACGGTGACATAGCCGATACGACGACATAGCCGACACGGTGACATAGCCGACACGACATAGCCGACACGACGACACTGCCAACAGACGGTGACATCCGAGCGCAAGTATCGACGAGGCTCGATTATTATTGCGACTCCCCGCTCTACGGGGCGTCTGGCAAAAACAATGCACGAGCTACCGCGTGTACAGAATTCTCTGGCACGTGTCGCGGTCGGGCGCTTGCAAGATGCGACCGCGTCTGTCCAGTGCTTGCCGAGCCTCATTGGCTTGCGGTTGCCGAACGAATACATTTGTCAGAATCAGAATATTTATTTATACTTGAAGCCTTCTCACGAGCTAAAAATCTATTTTTCAAAGATGTCCAGTAGGGGTAGGTAAAAACGTTACAAACACTCATTACACACGCATTGTTTGCCACAAATGAGCTGCAATACCTTGCGGAGCTCGTCAAGTAACACGCGAACCCCTGTCATTCTCGCAGCTGCAGCGGCGGCGGCTTTTGGCGAGCCATCTAACAAAGATGGTCACCGCATCGCGCGCTTTCAGATGCGCTTCCTGCGGACGTCTGGAACGCCCTTCCGATATTAGGAAGCCACTGGAGCTATGCACTTTTCAATCTTCGAGATTGAAAATCCATTGCTTTAGAACTGCTTTTTGTGTTTAGTTGGTTGTCCTTTCCTCGCACCTCAGATTTGCACAGTTGGCTATGTACGGTGCAAAAGAAGTTCATACAGCGCAACAGCGGAAACCACGCAGTGACGGAAGTTGGCAATAATAAAGGCCTTAACCCATTCCGATGACGTAGCGCCGTTTTTTGTACTCACGATAGAGATAGCTGGTGCCAAACTGCCGCATAGCCTTGTGGGAGCCTCGGTACCGATAAAGTTACTTTATTTTAGTTCTTACTTCAGGTTCCGTTCCGATGACGTACCGAACACAGCGTTTTTTTTAAAAACAGCGGCGCTACGCCTCTCCAAATAAAATCAACGCCGAGTCGCTCGCGCGTTCCGAGATTCAGCGGTTTAACGGAACAACCCCGCCCACCCCCTGCAACTTGCAGGACGTCTCAGAAGGGCAACGGGTTTAATTACGATCGCACCTCGCCCGCAAAGAAGGCAACACGACGCACAAGCGCGACGGCGACCGAAACATCGGCGGCGATCAAACGTCGTCGCGACTCACCTGGCGGTCAAAGTACTCGCGCGTGTAATCGCTCTGCACTTGCGGCGGCATCTTGGCCCACATGCCGTCGGCGATCTCCTTGACACGGTCCTCGCCGTACAGCGCCGTCGCCGCGATGAAGTTGCCCGGCTCCACGACGGACACCTTGACGCCCCAGCGCATCATCTCGTAGCGCAGGCAGTCGGAGAACGCCTCGATGCCGAACTTGGTGATGCAGTACGGGGAGCGCGCCGTGTTGCCCATGCGGCCCATCATGCTGGAGATGTTCACCACCCGCCCTGCGCGCGACCCAAAGCGACGGGCGTTAAGCCGGGGTCTCCACCGGAGGGAGAGCTCCCTATAGAGGGAATTTTCATAATCAACGTTTTTGGGTTTAGATCGCGTTATTTATAAATGTGTCGTAACCCTCCACCACCCGACACGGCCAATCAGTAAAAAAGTGTCACGTTGACAAAAGACAAATAGTTCACTGCTTTAGCCCACCGGTGTATTGAAGCGTGAAACCACAACATTTACAATTTGAGTACGACGTTTCGCTGGTAATTGCATCCAGCATCATCGGGCAATTCGCCAGAATGGTGAGGCTCTCCTCTGTCTCCCGTTCTTATATAGATCAGCAGCAGCAGGGTGACGTCATCATTAACTCGCTTCAACACACCGGTGGGCTAAAGCAGTGAACTATTTGTCTTTTGTCAACGTGACACTTTTTTACTGATTGGCCGTGTCGGGTGGTGGAGGGTTACGACACATTTATAAATAACGCGATCTAAACCCAAAAACATTGATTATGAATAATATTGGTCGCGAAAGCCTACGTGTTAAAGAGGGCATTTTGTCTGTATGTTGAACTTCTTTCGCACCTTACGTACGCCAAGCGTGGTAATCGGAGGTGCGGGGGAAGGACAACATTTTGACCTACTCTTCCGTGCTGACCAGGTGTGGGATTACTACTCTTTGACACACTTAATAGTCAGAACCCAGGATCTCAGCGGTATTAGCTCAGCGGTCTGACCCCTGAGTGACCTGGGCTCTTTGACATCCTTGTCGTCAGAGGTGGCTGCTTGGATCCGAACCCAGGATTTCAGCAGTGTCAGCTCAGCACTCTGACCCCCAAGACACCTGGTGACATGCTTGTAGCTTTAGTATGTTCATAATGTGTTTTGCTCGTCAATAAAGATAAAGATCCCCCATATAGCCTTAACAGACTGTAGGGACAAGTGCTGTTAGCGAGCACCTATGAGGGCCGCAACGGTACACGAGGGGGTGGGTGGCCAGAACCACGCCCGACCGCCTTTGTCTCCCTAGTGGTGATGTTTACACACCGCACCAGGTACTCATTTGAGGCTGAGTCTACCTAGGGGAGGCCCAGGACCGGTTCAGATAATCGTCACTGGTGTTGGCCGTGAGCGGGAATCGAACGCGGGTGGCCGGGTTTATAGCGCAGCGTAGCGCTAACCGCTACACTATCGCTCCCCATTGCTCGTCAATGACCACACACACACACACACTTGTCTACCGTACAAAAGTACTGGAAGTACAATATTCCCTCATTATTCGCGAGGGATATGTTCCGGAGATGCTTGTGAATAGCAGATTTTACGGATAAAGATATTGGCCTAAGAAAACCTTTTTTACGACTCTTTTGAATGAATTACCTTAAATACATAAATAAGTTATTAAATATGTGGAAACTATCCTAATAACACATCTCTCTATCTCATCGCTTCACCTCATTGCTTCACCTCATCGCTTCACCTCTCTCTTGATGCAGTCGTGTAGAGTTGCGGGCGCGATTCACGGACAGCCAAAATCGCGGACAGCGAGTCCGTGAATAACGAGGGAATACCGTGTGCACAAGTAACAACAAGTGTAACCCGTAAAAACAAAGTTTTTCACTATAAATCCTCTATATGCGTGTTCAATGGGCCACAACCCAGCCCACATTGGTCTTTGAAACGGGCGGCTAGAGTCCTCTCGTCCTCTGGCTTGGGATGGCTGCCACCTATGGGTCAGATGATTGTCTGGCAGCATTAAACAATTGGTAATTAAATATATATAAAAATTTCCCTAAACAGTGTAAAATTTTGGGAAAATTTTTTCACAAAAATGCATTGTCACGCACAACGAGTCTGTGTGCAAAATGTCAGCTCGATTGGATCACGGGAAGTGGGTTAAAAAAACGACCGAAAGATTTGCACGGTCCTAAGCAAGCAAGCAAACTTAATATAAAGGATTTTTAAAAAATAGACACTTTCCGGTTTAAGGAGCGACCGAATAAAATTGTGGCGCCGGACCATGGGAGAATTACCGCGAGCTCGCCGGATGAGCGGCAGGCACGCCTTGGTGGTGCGCACGATGCCCCACAGGTTCACCTCCGCCACGTTCTTGTAGGTCTCCATGGGCGTCCACTCGATCTCTCCAAACGTCGAGATCCCCGCGTTGTTCACCACGCCCCACAGGCCTAGGCGGAAAACGAGACGGGGGCAGGGGAGGGTTGAGACTTGTTGTTGCCAGTTGACTTTGTATCACAGTCAGTTGACTTTGCATCACAGTCAGTTGACTAGGCATCAGTCAGTTGACTTGGCCACACAGTCAGTTGACTTTGCCACAGAGTTCATACTCACAGCAGAGGCTTTTGGCCAAGCCATTTCAGATGAGCTTCTGCGGCCGTCTGGAACGCTCTTCCCTTCCCATACTGGAAGCCACTGAAGCTATGCACTTTGAAATCTATATTGAAAATTAATTTCTTTAGAACTGCGTTTTGTGTTTAGTTTGTTGTCCTTCCCCCGCCCCTCAGATTAAACACGGTTGGCTACGTACGGTGCGAAGGAAGTTCAACATGCACACATACAGTCAAGTGTATGAGTGTGCGGATAGACTGGAGTTTTGGGGTGGCATGCGACCAGGTATCGTGGATGTGTTGTTCCACATGCAGAAATATTTTAGGGGTCGCTGACCTACACAGAACCAGCTAAAATTAAGCCTCAAGCATAAGCCAACTGGTTGAAAGACTCAGACAGCGCGAGGCTTGGGCTTGAGCCAGTTCAAATGATCACGATTTGGGGCGAGGGGGGAGAAGTTAATTGTAAAAATTTAATTCAACACTCTTTATCAGTGAAATAGTTTTTTCCGCCCTTGTGGTGCACATAATAATAAGTAGCGCGGACATCGTAACGACGCATCGACTTGCAAGCCGGGTCGCTGGCCCGCGCGGCCTATCGGTGAGATGTTCACTCCCTCGCCTGGTATACAGGAGGTCGCGAGTTCGATCCGGACCCTGACGCCAGTATATTTGGAGTTTGCACGCTCTCCCCGTGGTCGCGTGGATTTTTTTTCCGGGTCCTCCGGCTTTTTCCCTCCACATTTAGAATCAACGTCACGCATTTGAGAGTAATTCGGCTGCCGTAAATGTCCACGTGCTGAGCCACTTCGTTGAGCTTTCATTTCTGATGGCCAGGTCCGCTTCTTGAAAAAGAGCTGCATAGCTCAGCGGGCCTTAACTGAATTTAGATTTAAAGCTTTCGTGACTGCAGGGATTCATATTCTTGGTTCTTTTGGTAAAGTCACGTAGAAGAGAAATAATAAAATAATATACATATAAAAAAAAATGTATCACGACGTTTCCACTGCAACACAAGCAATCATCATCAGGTGTGAAATCCACAGCAAGAAAATGTTCTTTACCAGTTAAGGCCCGTAGAAGGGAAATAAAATAATATTATTTTATTGCTGTGGATTTCACACCTGATGACGATTGCTTGTGTTGCAGTCAAAACGCCGTGAGAATTTTTATTGTTTTATATTTATATTATTTTATTATTTCCCTTCTACGGGCCTTAACTGGTAAAATAAATCAAACTCTCCGTGCCACTCTCTCACCGTCTTCAGGGTCGGGTAGGCTGCTCCTGATGAATTCGACGGCCTTCGCGACCTCGTCGTCACTCGCCACATTCATCTGCACGACCTTTAGCCTCTCCGACTTCATCGCCTCCAGCTGCTTGGCGCCATCGCCTCCCTTGTCCTGGTGGAGAACGGTAACGGTTTCAAACGGGATCGGGGCAATGCAACAATTCGCCGATTAAAGTATCGAAATTGATTACACTGGTCAACACACTTTTTCTGGCGTAAGGTATTCCAACTGGTTTAAGGTAATTTTGAGGTGCTGATTCCAAATCTGGCATCAGTTTTTGTCCATCACAGGTTTTTGAGATATCAAATATTACATTTTCAATAAAAACTTCAGAAGAAAAATATTAAATAAATGTGGATATCTACATAAAATGATATTATAAACACACTATCCTAAAAATACAGCACCATATTTTAACACTAAAGCAGTCACTGACTCGCAACAACTTGCAATCATAAGTGACAGAGTTAATTTCGGGTAAAATCAATGAAAACTGGGGTATGCCGATAGTATAAAAATGAGATGTGATAGAGCAAATCTGAGATCAGATTTGGAATCCGCACCCTGAAACAGCTGCAAAGGTCCAGGCCAGAAATAAATGTTATTTTTTTGTTGACCAGTGTTATTATTCTTTATGGATTCGTACGTGCTGTGTGGAGTGGGTTTCCGTGACCCCTGCAGCCACTGGAGGTGGTGTATACTTCACAATAATGATTCCTAAACTAAACAAAAAACATTTATTTACCAGGTCCACTGACCTGTACAGATCTTTTTCAGAAGTAACCTGGCCACAAATGATAGCCCAATGAAGTAGCTTATCGCGTGGAAATTTATAGCAGCCAAATACTCTAAACGCACGTTGATTTTAATGTGGAAAGCCGGAGGGCCTGGAAAAAAATCAACACGACCACGGGGAAAACACGCAAACTCCAAATATACAGCTGTCAGGGTCGGGATTGAACCCACGACTTCCTGTATACCAGGCGAGGTAGTTAACATCTCCTAGCCACCATGATGATGATGAGAGAGACACGACAACTCCAAATATACAGCAGCAGGCGTCAGGGTCGGGATTGAACCCACGACTTCCTGTATACCAGGCGAGGTAGTTAACATCTCCTAGCCACCATGATGATGATGATGAGAGAGAGAGACACGCAAACTCCAAATATACAGCAGCAGGCGTCAGGGTTGGGATTGAACCCACGACTTCCTGTATACCAGGCGAGGTAGTTAACATCTCCTAGCCACCATGATGATGATGAGAGAGAGAGACACGCAAACTCAAAATATACAGCAGCAGGTGTCAGGGTCAGGATTGAACCCACGACTTCCTGTATACCAGGCGAGGTAGTTAACATCTCATAGCCACCGTGATGATGATGAGAGAGAGAGACACGCAAACTCCAAATATACAGCTGTCAGGGTCGGGATTGAACCGACGACTTCCTGTATACCAGGCGAGGTAGTTAACATCTCGCCAGCATAGAATTTTAGAACAGCACCACGACCCTGAAATGTGACAATTCATCTCATTATGGTGGGGTGGGGGGTGGAGTGAATCTATATTATTCACCTGGCAGTAGACATATTTAAAAAAAAAGGTGCTGTACATGTACGTAGTCATGAAAGTCAAGTTGACTTCACTAACAATTAAAAAAAGAAAAGCGACAGTTATCTGATGGCATGCTTTCAATTCATTCCAAAGGATCCAAAACCAGTTTGGAAAGGCTTATTCATCTCGTAAGAAAGGAAACCGAGGAGTGGGTAAACTGCATTGCCTTGCACAGTTCTGGGTTGGCTGGGCTCAAAACAATTTAAAAAAACCCACTGCAACGTCACTGTGACTTGCACCTTCAGGAGGCATCCGGCGAAGATTTTGAAGCCCTTTGAGTGGAGGTGCTGCGCGAGTGACAGTCCAAAGCCGGAGTCGCATCCCGTCACCAGCACAGACTTGTCCCGGATCTGTATCACACACACACGCACGCACACGCACGTAAGAAATATATTTATCTATATAAATGCACTCGTGTAATTCTGTAACGCTTCCAAAAATTCACTTTGGTTTGGCCATGTTTGTTTGTTGTAGTACGGAGTTTAGACCAATGGCTTTAATTTAATTTGTCTTGTGGTTGTTGTTTGACTTGCATCCCACTGGGATTTTTGCACACAGCGTTGGTGTACGGTGCTTTTTCTGGAAGACTTTGCAGTTTTTTCCTGGATTTTTCTGTTTGCGCATAGTCACTTTAAGATGTTTTCTTGTTCATGGTTTTGTTTGTTGCGGTTCCACCCGATTTAAGAGCCGAATGGCTCACAGGGCTATACCATCTTCTTGGTTCTTTCGGTAAAGTCACGTAGAAGGGAAATAATAAAATAATAAAAATAAAACATAATAAAATAATTCTCACGACGTTTTACCAAATAAGTGAAAACTGAAACTGAAAAACGCGTCCTCCGACGTATTTAATTAGCAATAAAAATGGAGGCCTTCACACAAGGTGTGCAAACACAAGGTGAGTGTGCAAACACAAGGTGAGTTTGCAAACACAAGGTGAGTTTGCAAACACATTTCTTGAGAACTTTAAAAAAACCTTGTGTTTGCACACACATTTTTCTAGAACCCCCGCACGCCCCCGCACCTCTGATTAGCACGGATGGCTACGTACGGTGCTAAATAAGCTCAACGTACGTACAAGACGCACGTGGCAGTAGGCCCCGATGAGACAACGGGTCTCGGATGGTGGTTCTGCCGGGAGGGGCGTGCGTTTACCCCGCGATCAAAGTGGCCGGTCTCCTCTAAAGTCGCCGAGAAGCAACACAGCCTCATCCCAAAGTTTAATCCACATTGGAATCATGTTTACCAGCGACACCGTGACCCCCATGTGACGGAAAGACGGACACGTCTAAAATGCATGAACGCTTTCAACCCTCACTGGAAAGTGCAAAAACACAGAATTAGTCGTACAGAGTAAATCCAGTCCAGGCAACTCCCCATAGTCCATTACAAACGCGTTCTATTTAAATGCAAATTAGGCCAATGTACACTGCAAGCACCTGACGGTTAATAAAAACTGTGATAGAGAATTGTACCGTGGTGGATCGTGAGGACTGTAGTTGAGAAACACTGCGAAAAACTGCACAGACAGGTACTGTTATCATAGCAACTATCAAGGTCAGCAGGACACGGGCAGTGGTGAGGTGGTAGCAAGTCCTGTGCACATCCGACCGCCTCCGTCTGCCTCAGCGATGATGCTCAGGTGCTGTAGGGGCCCGGGACACGTGCAGAGATCACACGCCAGCGATGGTGTGTGTGCATCGTGGCAAAGAAAACTTACTTAACCCGGGGTCGCTGTCTGTATAGGGGGTGCATTTTGGTGCCTCGAAGTGCACCCCCCCCCCCCCTATACAGACACATCACTTATTTTCCATTCAACTACCATATGTACTACATGCCACGTCGTCGAGATCCAAAACGTACGTATACGCCAGAGGTCGCAACCGGGTACCCGATACCCGTACCCTACCTGATACCCGGCTACCCGTACCCGGCTGGGTACGGGTAGCTGGGTATCGGGTAGGGTACGGGTACCCGTTTGCGACCCTGGTGCGGCCGGGTACGGGTAAGCAATCAAAACCGGTTTGCGACCTCTGGTATACACCTTCTCATTGCGAGGCGGCAGAGGGCAGAGCATTAAAAAAATGCTGCACTGTACTTCTATGTTCCCCAGCATTCCGCAAGCCGCAACTGACCAACGCGCCCAAGTCCGTGTAAACTCTTTGCCACGACTCTACAATGGCACGGGGGAGAAAAGACCCTCATCCAACAGCGGATTCACGATACACACATTTAAAGTGTAGGCCCATTTTTCGATTTAAAGCTTTCGTGACTGCAGGGAGTAATCTTCTTGGTTCTTTCGGTAAAGTCACGTAGAATGGAAATAATAAAATAATAAATAATAAAACATAATAAAATAATTCTCACGACGTTTCGGCCACAACGCAAGTAGCAGTCCTCAGGTGGAGAACAGGTCTGTCGAGGAGACAGAGTCTTCAGACTGTCTCCGCAATGTGGCCCGAATCGTCGTGAGAATTATTTTATTATGTTTTTTTTTCCCATTCTACGTGACTTTACCGAAAGAACCAAGAAGATGTAGGCCCATTTGTTCACGTTTGACTTGCCGCGGCAGGGCGCGCGTGCCGACGCAGCCGTCTGGAACGCTCCACCAAGGTTAGGACGGAGAGCCGCAGGGAAACCCGTACAGTATTAAGAGGGCCGCCCCCCCATTGCTCGCTTGGCCTCATTCACGGTCCTTGGCTATAAATAGTCTCCAGCGATGACGGCAGCCGGCCGAGGCAAAACGTAAGCAGGCATTTTCTTGCTCGGATGGGGAAGAGGCGAGGGGGGAGGAAGGTGCCAAATGTCACGGCTTGTGGACGTCATTTTGAACCTGAATGACCCAACTTTGATCTTGAAACTGGTGGTGGGGGGCAACACACACGCATAGCTCTGTTCGTCATTCCTCGCTGCTGGATGAGGGCCCCCGCCGCCCCCTTCCCACACCGCGAGGGCAGTGCGGACGGGTGGTTTATTTGAGCACACTTCGCCATGTTTGGTCGGTTGCGGGTTGGTCAAAGCGTGGAGCAACAGCAGTACAAACATTTCGATTTCTGCACTGCCCTTTGGCTTGGTGGGGGGGACAGAGAAAGGGAAAATAAACAGTTGTGTTCTGCATGATGCCCGACGTTTCAGTTCCAGAAGGAGCCCAGCACATGCGGCTAAACGTCGGGACATATTGTCCAACAACACATGGTACACGTACTCTTTGTTTTTTTATAAATAAAATAAATGAAAACAACTAAATTAAATCATGACGTTTCGGGCGCAACACAAGCGTCCTTCAGGCTTGTGTTGCGCCATAAACGTCGTGATTTAATTTAGTTGTTTTCATTTATTTGATTAGATTTTTTACCTACGTGACTTTACCGAAAAAACCAAAGAGTATGAATCCTTGCAGTCACGAAAGCTTCAAATCTAGAACACATGGTACGACCAGAAAACACATTTCCGGGTAAGCGAGACTCCTCTTATCCGGGGCGATGGTCTAGACACACAATCCTATTATCGGCGTTAAAATGCACTCCCCGTTGTCTGTGCACGTATGGGATAAGCTCATGTCCAACTCAAGGTGTGACACAGCCAAATTGTGCCCTTGGAGCAATAACCACAACGGTGTTAGACTCGCCCACACGGTACACAATGTACGCACACCTGACTGGCAGTCTAGCATTTATGTCCCTATGGGAGCAGAGGTGAAGGACCCGGACACTTAAAAGCTGTAAAACATCACCTGGTGTCTGCAATCTAGACCAAACGGTGTACCACGCTCTTTGCAAAAGGCGATATTGCTGCCCTGTGGAGATCAATTCCTCAATCACCCTGCAAGCCCTTTATCATTAATTCTAGATTTGAAGCTTTCGCGACTGCAAGTATTCATATTCTTAGGTTTTTTTCGGTAAAGTCACGTAGGTAAAAAATCAAAATTAATAAAAGTCAAATAAAAATCACGACGTTTCGCAGGCATCCCACGTTCCAGCCACTCTTATACCCCTTTCACCCTGGCCCATCCAAACCAAACCAGCGAGTAGCCTCCCCGGCATGTATGGTTTTTCCACCGACTACTCGTCTTTCCAAGCCAGAACCAATCCGTGATGTCGCTGGCCTCATGAGGAGACATCTGGATCTGGCTCGAAGCCAAGCAGGGCCAGGGGGCGGAGCTAACGACTCGAGGGGAAATAATAAAATAATATAAATATTTAAAATTTTATCACGACATTTCGACTGCAACACAAGCAATCATCATCAGGTGCGAAAACCACAGCAATTTGAAAATTTGAAAAAGTGGCGGAAACGTGAGAATTTTTATTGTTTTATTTTTATTTTAAACAGGACCCTGCGGGGTGGGCTGGTAGGAATAATACTTAGTACCGGTACAGAGATATCGACCGGGTATAGAGGAGTTAAAGAAAAAATTACTGTATTCTAGTGTAACGTTAATTAAAAGTGTTTGTTTTGACAAGAAACGCTGTGAGATTTAAAGACTCGTAGTCTTTCAATTCCAACACCACCCTCAACACCACCCCTCCCACGGACGGACGGACGGACGGACGGACGGACGGACACATTAATCTATTGGTGGTCTGGTCCACTTCGTTCCTACCAGTATTATTTCCCTTCTACGTGACTTTATATTTTATTATTTCCCTTCTACGTGACTTTACCGAAAGAACCAAGAATATGTGTTGATTTTCGATTTAAAGCTTTCGTGAAGAAATCCACAGCAAGAAAATGTTCTTGCTGTGGATTTCACACCTGATGACGATTGCTCGTGTAACGTTAGTCGGTACACTGCGTGGACACAGCATCAGCGCGCCGTCTACGTGTGACTCGTACATGTTTATTGCAAGCGGCACCAGCAGCTCGGCTCGGCTTCCACGGTGGAAAACGATCTGGCACCTTCCGAGCCGGCACAGCCCAGAAGCAGTTCGCGTTGTGCAGTGTAAAAAGAAGCGAAAGAAGCAAGTCTACCGCGTAGTCTTCTTGGTTCTTTCGGTAAAGTCACGTAGAAGGGAAGTAATAAAATAATAAAAATAAAACATAATAAAATAATATAATAATATTATTTTATTTTATTATGTTTTATTTTTATTATAATATAATAATATAATATTATTTTATTTTATTATGTTTTATTTTTATTATTTTATTACTTCCCTTCTACGTGACTTTACCGAAAGAACCAAGTAGATGAATCCCTGCAGTCACGAAAGCTTTAAATCGAAATCTACCGCGTAGATTTGAGCGGTTGTGCTAGTTTACACAACAAAGGCTCATTCATTCTAACAGCGTGCTTCAGCCGCACCGAACCTCACAAAAATAATATCCAGGGCCTACCTTGACTCCTTCCATCCTCAACCAGTATATATACAAATACTGTTTTCTTGGAATTTCTCTCACTTGATACAGCTATCGTGCTGTGACGGTTCCACCTGAAGACGGAAGCTTGTGTTGCCTCCGAAACGTCGTGATTTTTATTTTATTTTTTATTTTACTTTTATTAATTGTAATTTTTTACCTACGTGACTTTACCGAAAAAACCTAAGAATATTAATCCTTGCAGTCACGAAAGCTTCAAATCTAGAATGTGCTGTAAAGGTCTGGCGATGCATGTTTTTGTTGTTGATCAGATCGAAACGCCCGTTGCTCAAGGCTTGATGTCCTACCGTTGCATTCCCAGCACGTAGAAGTGGATAGTTCCTGAAAATGCTTCCGAACACGTAGCATGAACCGTCGGATGCACGCATTAAAAAACACGTTGGCGAGCCTCCCTTAAAGCCCCCCCCCCCCCCCCCACGAACGCTCAAATCTTTAGGTTAAACATTCTGGAAAATCTTTAACGGCCGGGTTAACCATTCACTCGCGACAGATTCCGGCCTCAAGAGAATTGCGGTGACGGGGCAAGACAAATTTAACGGGAGCTCAATTCGCAAGCGGCAATGCTGAGTGGATGGTGGAAAATGTTGGCAGAGGGAAATGAGGTGTGGCTGGTATGCAAGGAAACTATTGGCAGTGGGCAAGACCACTGCTAAGGGAGAGTTCACCAAATTCTACCATTTCATATCCCAACACTTTCCACCCACGATGAACCCCAGCTCAGGTCTCACACACCTCTTCTTAGCTTGACCCACTTTTAAGATAATGCATGGGCATAATATGACTTTGAAACCCCCCCCGCCCAACTCCTACGCATTTCCCATGAATATGCTAAATTCCTCTTCATATGCACATTCTTTTTGTTAAGGCGCTCTTCCACCTCCAACGCAGCTTATATATAAGCTCCTAGCTTGGTAGCGTCTCATTCTTCACCTGAAGACGGCTGCTTGCGTTGTAGCCGAAACGTCGTGAGAATTATTTTATTTTATTATGTTTTATTTTTATTATTTTATTACTTCCCTTCGACGTGACTTTACCGAAAGAACCAAGAAGATGAATCCCTGCAGTCACGAAAGCTTTAAATCGAAACCACTTTTAAGATTCAAGAATGACCTTAACTTTTAAACAGTTCGGATTTGCACAGTGATAAACTAGTTGGAGAATTTTACTTTTTATTGAAAAAGTCATTTTTTATGCTTTCGGTTCCATGTACACAGACTGTAAAAACCAACCATGAAATATTGAATTTCTCACTCCTAAAAAAAGCTATTCGTGAAGACCTATAACAACACTATTTTCACAAAGGCCTTTCCAAGCCTCATTGGCCATACTTCATCACAACGCTGATCCATGCGGGTTGATCTGATGGGGGGGGGGGGAGCAGATGGCTTCAAACATCATCCACCACTGCTGTTAAGCGTGGCCGGAATTGAACTCGTGCGCTAACCACTGTCCCACCATCCCCCCACAATACTTTGAGAGCGATACACAGTAATGTATTCAATAACTTTAAATGAATGATGAGTGTCCATTGTTGCGTGCCAGTAGTGTAGAATTGGGGTTAACATTTCCTTTAATTGCCATGCCACTTTTGGCAATGTATTGCCGAGAGCCTGGATCATTAACGCCACGGATCCATCAGTATCGGTTGCTGAGATTTGTAATCAAAGTGCCAACAGATGTGGAGGAGTGAATTGTACATTGTGTGTGTGTGTGTCACAGACAAGGCCAACGGGGCTGCTAGGGTGAGAGTTAATCTGGGTTCAACTCAGCCTAGACAATGTCACATCTCTCAACGTGGTTTGAAAGTAAAATTAAAATCACGACGTTTCGGAGGCAACACTTGCCTCCGAAACGTCGTGATTTTTATTTTTATTTTACTTTTATTAATTTTAATTGTTTTACCTACGTGACTTTACCGAAAAAACCTAACAATATAGTAAGCTTCCTCCTATATACTCTCTTGCAAACTCACCGCAAACACTTTGCATCGTGTATAAAAAAAAGTTAAACAATGTTCGACCGTTGAAAATAAATAAAATATATTTTTTTGGACTCGACTATAGTGGACTTTCATTTTCTTATCAGCTATGTGGTTGTACACTCTTGCCTGAAGGGCCTCCTGACACGCTATTCAACTCCAATTCCAGCCACTGTCTGGCATCAACCCAAGGTCAAATCGCTTCCAGTCCCATTATTAAAGGGCCAAAAGAATTTCGCGGAAAATAATTACAATTATCTCAAATTGTAAGTGTGTGTGGGGGTGGAGTGGGGTAGGATTTTGTGTGTTACGTTTACACAAAATGACTTGCTAAGATGAATTGCCAGTGTTATGCCAACACGGGCAACCCACACATGTGTGCCACTGAAAACATTCACAAGTTTAACACGGAGCCGGCTTTCGTGACAAATATCATCCACAATACAGGGGTGTTAGATCACGTAAATATTAATGTGGTTAATACCGCACTGAAAAGTACAATAAACACTTGAACTTTACATTTCACTTAAAAGTCCGAATGAAGAAACGAACCACACCAATTGTACATCAAGTTTGGGATAAAGATCCCATTTCAGTTATCCACAGTAGTTAATTATAGAGTATTATATCATGCCATACAATTGTCATGCTTAAGCATGTTGCGAGATGTGCGGTTATACTCCACACAATGTTATTCCTGAACTAGCAGTAGAAATTCCACGTTCGTGTGACGGGGGCACGTACATCCACACTTGTACAATAAAACGAATGGCTTTAATGTGTACAGCTATAATCATTGTGTTGCCACCTTACTGATGATGATGATAGGGGGTACTGTAATGATGAATGTGATGATAGTGATGATGATATCGGTTTGACCTTCACCAATTCACATTATCTTATCTCACTAAGTTAAGCATGAGGCTCTGCAACTTAAACTATTTGTACTGCAAACTTCACGATCAACGTACTGTATTCTACAATCATGATTAAAATACTAAAGACAATTCCAACAGCTGTTACATCTAATTCAAGCCGGGGAAAAAATAGCAATTATAACTAAATAAGATTATCTTCTTGGTTCTTTCGGTAAAGTCACGTAGAAGGGAAATAATAAATTAATAAAAATAAAACAATAAAAGAATTATTTTTATTAAATAAAACATAATAAAAGAATTTCGATTTAAAGCTTTCGTGACTGCAGGGATTCATCTTCTTTATTATTATGTTTTCTTTATTATATGATTTTATTATGTTTTCTTTTTATTATTTTATTACTTCCCTTCTACGTGACTTTACCGAAAGAACCAAGAAGATGAATCCCTGCAGTCACGAAAGAAGCTTTAAATCGAAATGTAATAAGATTAGTCATTCCATAAAAGCGACTTTAAAAAGGATGCACTTCTGTACGTCGTGTTGTTATCACGTAAGAAGCATTATAATTTACGGTATGAATATTACACATTACCCAACATCAGTACCCAATGAACTGCATTTAAATAGCCGTACGTTTAAGTTGCAATAGTACAAGATGCTAGACCAATTAAAGTTTAAAAAGAGACACAAAACCGACCGCCTTTGTCTCTCCCAGTTCATAACCACGTTCGTTTGAGGCTTTAGGTTCAGCCGACCTAAAGGTGATGATGCCCAGACCAAGTTTCAATTCAACTATAAACATATACTCACAAGTGTGCCATTATAAACACGTACATCATCATCACATAACACACAAACACGAATTAGCGAGCACCTATTAAGGCCACGACTGCACACGTGGCGTGGCTCGGACAGTACGCGCCCGACCGCCTTTGTCTCCCCGCACCAAAGCACTGCAATGTTACTGTACAACGTTGAAGAGGCCGAGTGGACCTAGACGTGGCCCAGGGTTGTTTTTGTTGTGTGAACCGAGCGCGCTAACCATTGCACCACCGCTCGCCGCCACCACCATCACCAATGTTAATCGATACACAGACGCTGTGGCATTAATCTCAACGTTGTTTACAAGACGAACATCACAACAACAACAAACGCAGGCTGTTGTTGCTGCTGTTGTTGTTGTTTACCTTCTTAGCCGGAATGTTGGGACGAATGTTCCTCCAAAACTTGGCCAGAGCGAGGATTTTATCTGCCGCCATTTTAAACCGGGTGTTGCCGTGAATTTATAATTATTTTACAATTATTTTCTCTTTCTTTTCAAACAAACGTAAACTTATTTTAATATATAGCGACACTATTGTTTAGCTTCGTTAATGTTAAGATTTTGCTGCCGTTGCTATAAACGCGCGCCTCTGCGCTGTACGTGCAGTGTGCGCGACGCTATAATGGCTCGGGCGACACCCACCGACGTTTCGCCCCACCCCCCTCCTCAATGCGGTGACGGTGATTGGCTGGGAGAGGGAGCGGTGGCGCAGCGGTTAGCGCCGCTGCTGCGATTACGAACCTCCCCCCCGCTCTCACGGCGGCCGACATCGGTGACGATTATCTGGCCTGCTCCTAGGTCCACTCAGCCTCAAACGAGTACTCCGTCTGGTGTGTAATAAACATCGCCACTGGGGGAGACAAAGGCGGCCGGGCGTGGTGCTGGCCACCCACCCCCTCGTGTGCCACAGTGCCGGCCTTCATAGGTGCTCGCTAACAGCACTTGCCCCTATAGTCTGCCAAGGCTACACGGGGGAGCTTTGTCTTTGATTGGGTGGAGGGAGCGGTGGTGCAGTGGTTAGCGCGCTGCTGTGCTTTTACGGACCCCCCGGCGATCCGAGTTCGATTCTCGCTCACGACCAACACCAGAGGCCCAGGACCAGAACCCGTGCTGGGCCTCCCCTTAGGTTGACTCGGCCTGAAATTAGTTACCTGTTGCGGTGTTGTGTAGTAAACATCGCCACTGTGGGGGGGGGGGGGAGAGACAAAGACGGCCGGGCGTGGTGCTGGCCGTGCCCGCCTTCATAGGTGCTGCTACTCGCTCACAGAAACTTTCCCCCGGTTAGCTACGTACGGTGCGAAAGAAGTTCAACGTACGTACATAGACTCACACAGAGACCCATAGACTCACACAGAGACACAGACTCACACAGAGACCCATAGACTCACACAGAGACCCATAGACTCACACAGAGACACAGACTCAGAGACCCACAGACTCACACAGAAACCCATAGACTCACACAGAGACCCATAGACTAACACAGAGACCCAGACTCGCGCAGAGAACCACACAGAGACCCATAGACTCACACAGAGACCCATAGACTCACACAGAGACACAGACTCGCGCAGAGAACCACACAGAGACCCATAGACTCACACAGAGACACAGACTCAGAGACCCACAGACTCACACAGAAACCCATAGACTCACACAGAGACCCATAGACTCACACAGAGACCCAGACTCGCGCAGAGAACCACACAGAGACCCATAGACTCACACAGAGACCCATAGACTCACACAGAGACCCAGACTCGCGCAGAGAACCACACAGAGACCCATAGACTCACACAGAGACCCATAGACTCACACAGAGACACAGACTCGCGCAGAGAACCACACAGAGACCCATAGACTCACACAGAGACCCATAGACTCACACAGAGACCCATAGACTCACACAGAGACCCACAGACTCACGCAGAGACCCAGACTCGCGCAGAGAACCACACAGAGACCCATAGACTCACACAGAGACCCATAGACTCACACAGAGACCCATAGACTCACACAGAGACCCATAGACTCACACAGAGACCCACAGACTCACGCAGAGAACCACACAGAGACCCATAGACTCACACAGAGACCCATAGACTCACGCAGAGACCCACAGACTCACGCAGAGAACCACACAGAGACCCATAGACTCACACAGAGACCCACAGACTCACGCAGAGACCCACAGACTCACGCAGAGAACCACACAGAGACCCATAGACTCACACAGAGACCCATAGACTCACACAGAGACCCACAGACTCACGCAGAGAACCACACAGAGACCCATAGACTCACACAGAGACCCACAGACTCACGCAGAGAACCACACAGAGACCCATAGACTCACACAGAGACCCAGACTCGCGCAGAGAACCACACAGAGACCCATAGACTCACACAGAGACCCACAGACTCACGCAGAGACCCACAGACTCACGCAGAGAACCACACAGAGACCCATAGACTCACACAGAGACCCATAGACTCACACAGAGACTCACACAGAGACCCATAGACTCACGCAGAGACCCACAGACTCACGCAGAGAACCACACAGAGACCCATAGACTCACACAGAGACCCACAGACTCACGCAGAGACCCACAGACTCACGCAGAGAACCACACAGAGACCCATAGACTCACACAGAGACCCATAGACTCACACAGAGACTCACACAGAGACCCATAGACTCACACAGAGAACCACACAGAGACCCATAGACTCACACAGAGACCCATAGACTCACAGAGACCCATAGACTCACACAGAGACCCATAGACTCACACAGAACCACAGACTCAGAGACCCACAGACTCACACAGAGACCCATAGACTCACACAGAGACCCATAGACTCACAGAGACCCATATACTCACACAGAGACCCATAGACTCACACAGATAACCCATAGACTCACACAGAGACCCATAGATTGACTCACACAGAGACCCGTAGACTCACACAGAGACCCGTAGACTCACACACAGACCCATAGATTGACTCACACAGAGACCCATAGACTCAGAGACCCACAGACTCACACAGAGACCCACAGACTCACACCACACAGAGACCTATAGACTCACACACACAGACCCATAGATTGACTCACACAAAGACCCATAGTTTGTCCTTCCCGACACACCTCCGAGTAGCACGGTTGGCCACGTACGGTGCGAAAGAAGTTCAACGTACAGTATAGAGAGAGGGGGGGGGGGTTAAATATTTTAATATTTGGTGGTGACTGAATATGCACAATGATGCCACGTGGGACGTGAAGTGTGCGGACGTCCCAAGGTCTCCCTCTCTCTCTCTGCCCACGTGGTGGCGATGGGGTTCAGACCAGTTCACGCTGCTGCTGCTGCAGCCACGGAAAGCACGACTACGATAACTAGTGCCTTACTACCATAACTACCATAACCACTGCCTTAGTACCATAACTACTATAACTAGTGCCTTACTACCATAACTACTGCCTTACTACCATAACTACCATAACTACCATAACTAGTTCCTTACTACCACGACTACCATAACCACTGCCTTACTACCATAACTAGTGCCTTACTACCACGACTACCATAACTACTGCCTTACTACCATAACTAGTGCCTTACTACCACGACTACCATAACCACTGCCTTACTACCATAACTAGTGCCTTACTACCACGACTACCATAACCACTGCCTTACTACCATAACTAGTGCCTTACTACCACGACTACCATAACCACTGCCTTACTACAATAACTACTGCCTTACTACCACTACCATAACCACTGCCTTACTACCATAACTAGTGCCTTACTACCACGACTACCATAACCACTGCCTTACTACCATAACTAGTGCCTTACTACCACTACTACTATAACTACTGCCTTACTACCACTACTACTATAACTACTGCCTTACTACCACTACTACCATAACTAGTGCCTTACTACCACGACTACTATAACTACTGCCTTACTACCAATACTACCATAACTAGTGCCTTACTACCACTACTACTATAACTACTGCCTTACTACCACTACTACTATAACTACTGCCTTACTACCACTACTACTATAACTACTGCCTTACTACCACTACTACCATAACTAGTGCCTTACTACCAATACTACCATAACTAGTGCCTTACTACCAATACTACCATAACTACTGCCTTACTACCACTACTACTATAACTAGTGCCTTACTACCACGACTACTATAACTACTGCCTTACTACCACTACTACCATAACTAGTGCCTTACTACCACGACTACTATAACTAGTGCCTTACTACCACTACTACCATAACTAGTGCCTTACTACCACGACTACCATAACCACTGCCTTACTACCATAACTAGTGCCTTACTACCACTACTACCATAACTAGTGCCTTACTACCACTACTACTATAACTAGTGCCTTACTACCACTACTACCATAACTAGTGCCTTACTACCATAACTAGTGCCTTACTACCACTACTACTATAACTAGTGCCTTACTACCATAACTACTGCCTTACTACCACTACTACCATAACTAGTGCCTTACTACCACTACTACCATAACTAGTGCCTTACTACCATAACTACTGCCTTACTACCACTACTACCATAACTAGTGCCTTACTACCACGACTACCATAACCACTGCCTTACTACCATAACTACTGCCTTACTACCACGACTACTATAACTACTGCCTTACTACCACTACTACTATAACTAGTGCCTTACTACCACGACTACCATAACCACTGCCTTACTACCATAACTAGTGCCTTACTACCACGACTACCATAACCACTGCCTTACTACCATAACTAGTGCCTTACTACCACGACTACCATAACCACTGCCTTACTACCATAACTAGGGCCTTACTACAACTACTGCCTTACTATCATAACTACTATAACCACTGCCTTACTACCATAACTAGTACCTTACTACCAGGACTACCATAACCACTGCCTTGCTACCACGACTACCATAACTACTGCCTTACTACCATAACTACCATAACCACTGCCTTACTACCACTACTACCATAACTAGTACCTTACTACCACGACTACCATAACCACTGCCTTGCTACCACGACTACCATAACTACTGCCTTACTACCATAACTACCATAACCACTGCCTTACTACCACTACTACCATAACTAGTACCTTACTACCACTACTACCATAACCACTGCCTTACTACCACTACTGCCATAACTAGTGCCTTACTACCACTAGTACCATAACCACTGCCTTACTACCACTACTACCATAACCACTGCCTTACTACCACTACTACCATAACTAGTGCCTTACTACCACTAGTACCATAACCACTGCCTTACTACCACTACTACCATAACCACTGCCTTACTACCACGACTACCATAACTACTGCCTTACTACCACTACTACCATAACCACTGCCTTACTACCACTACTACCATAACTAGTGTCTTACTACTACTACTACCATAACTAGTGCCTTACTACCACCACTACTATAACTACCATAACTAGTGTCTTACTACCACTACTACCATAACCACTGCCTTGCTACCACGACTACCATAACTAGTGCCTTACTACCACTACTGCCA